CTCTCTCTCTCTCTCTCTCTCTCTCTCTCTCTCTCTCTATCCATCTATCTATCTATCTATCTATCTATCTATCTATCTCTATCTATCTATCTATCTATCTATCTCGTAGCTGGCAGATACAGAGAAGTCAGGGGGCGAGAGGGTAAGGAAAAGATGGTGGACTTAGAGGAGGAAGAAGAAGAACTCTCTCTCTCTCTCTCTCTCTCTCTCTCTCTCTCTCTCTCTCTCTCTCTCTCTCTCTCTCTGTGTCCGATACTAACCTGTGAAGGTGGCGTCTTGCTGCAGGTACATTGAAGACGAAGCTGGAGCTATGGCGCCGCAGGTGAGTATCCCTGGCCTCCGCCAACCATCTCTCTCTCTCTCCTACTAGCGCCCATCGCTGAAGACTACTGCTATCGCTACTACTACTGCAGAGTGCCGCTGCCGAGTCCTGAAGACTACCTCCTGCCTTCTGCACGTGAAGTGCCTAGGAACTGCCTGCAGCCTACAGGGCGGGTCAGCATTATATAGTGCTGGCCCATCCGAGAGGCTGCTCGTGCCTATGCCAAAACGTGCCAGACCCTGGGGTCGACACTCTACAAAATAGGCCCTAAAGGCCTGAGCTAAAACCCCGGTCTGGTGCCTGAGTTTCAGGGTAGGTCGATCTTGCGAGGGCCTGAAAATGGCCCGTTGTTTTCAGGCTGGAGGCTGAAACGACACAGGCCCTACTCCTACGGACCCTTAGTCTACCAGGTTGGGCTCTGCTGGGCCCGTGTGGTACAGAGTATGCCACACTCCCCTCTCCTTGAAAGACCGAGCTTACCTGCGAGGGCGAAGCTGTCTGGTGGAGGGAGGGACTGAAGTCCGGGTGGGAGGCTGTGCAGCTTCCATCGCTAGCCGTTTCTTCTCATAATGAGCATAGATTTCAGGAGCGGAGGCTCGCAAAGCTGCCCGGGAAATCCATCACGTGTCATCGGGGTCGCACCACTTGAATGTGACTTTGTACTGCATAGGCTTGTTGCCGTGCTTGCGACGCGTGATGACGCGCTCGTCTTCCTTATGACCATCCATGGAAGAGGGTCCTGTGATCGTCGTCCCGGGAAGTCGTCGCTCTTGGCTGGTGTATATGTGGCCAGCTTGGAGGCGTGGAAAACTGGGTGCACCGTGAGATGCGGCAGGATTTCGATCACAAATGAGAGGCCATCGGGCTCATCACCCGCGGCTGATGTGACGGGCCATGGTCCAAACCACTTTGGAAGTAGCTTGCGGGATACATCCTGCTCGAGTGCAAACTCTTCCATGGAGACCCAAACCAGGTCGCCGGAGCGAACGGGGCATGGCACGCGACGCCTGTTACCTTGCTGTTGCATGCGGACTTGAGCTTTTTGCATGTTGGCGCGGGCTTTAGCCAGCAAGTCCCTATACTTTCGAACGGACGGGGGCGAACAAGCGGCGTCAATGTCGGCAGTCCTTGGAAAAGGAAGATCAGCGAAGATGCGGCCTTTCTGGCCACCGTGGTGTAACTCGAACGGAGTCACGCCGATCGTCGGGTGCACCGAAGTGTTGTAGGCCAACTTGATGTCGGGAAGGCGGTCCACCCAATCCTTCTGATCCGTACGGATGAGTGTGAAGCATTACTTGAGCGGTTTGATGTGCCCGCTCCGTCTGCCCGTCCGTTTGCGGATGCCGAGCCGAACTTTGTTTCATCTCAGTGCCACACTCTTTCATGAGAGAGGTCCAAAATGCCGACTTGAAACGAGTGTCGCGGTCGCTGACGATGTCTTTCGGAACGTTATGGCCGCAAATCCAGCCGGTATGTAAAAGGCATGCAAGTTCCGGAGCCGTGGCTTGGTACTTGCAAGGAAGAAATCGTGCGTACTTGCTCAAACGGTCAACAACCGTGAGAATACTGTCGTGCCCGAAGCGTTCACGGGGGAACGGGCCGGTGACATCCATAGCAATGGAGAGGCCGGGTTCCCACGGAATAGGCAACGGGCGTAACCCACCATAGGGGTTGCGATTGCGGGGTCTGCTTCGTCGGCAAACTTCGCAACAGTCGCAATACCGGGTGACGTCGGTAATGAGGTCGGGCCACTGGAATCGCTGCCGAAGTCTTGCGATCGTACGATTGACTCCGAGGTGGCCGGCGAGTCTCGAGTCGTGGTACTCGCCTAATTCCGATTTACGGTGGAGCGGTGAAATGCGTAGAATAAATAAATGTACGTAAGCGACAGTCGTGTGGGACGCATAGTAAGTCCTTGCCTCGTGAGTGAAGCAGCAGGTAGCCATCGACGATGCGATAGTGGCTGGTCGGCGGGTGATCCGAGGATAGTTGCTCGTAGAGCGTGGCGTATTCCGGATCAGACCTGTATGCTGGCACAAAATGCTGATGAAGGGCTTTGTCGAAATTGAACGCGTGGTGAGTCACTGCGCAAAGATCTGATCTTCGCGAGAGAGCATCCGCGGCTCGGTTGGAGAGGCCCGGGATATGTTTCGGTGTGAAGTCGAACTGATCGATGAAGTACATCCACCGAGCAATCGTGCTGCTCACCGTGTCTTGCGTCTTGTAGTAGGTCAATGGGTTATTATCGGTCACCCAAGTGAACCTACGACGCCCGAGGAGGAAGTGTCGCCAACGCTTGAGTACCGTGACGAACGCGAGCAACTCCTTTCGCGCGTCATCAACCGAGTTGATGGGAGGCACCTTTTGGCTGAAGTATTCAACCGGATGCCAATCTACTCCGTCGTGTTGTTCCAAAACTGCACCCATGCCGTAGCCGGAAGCGTCCGTAGTCACTCTCGTAGGCAAGGTGGGATCGTAGATACTCAAGACGAGGGTGAGGAGCAGCGCCATCTTCAATTTGTGGAACGAACTGCGGACTTCGTCGGTGAACTGGAAGGGCACCTGTGGAGACTGCAATCTGGACAAAGGTGCGGCGATCCTTGCGTATCCTCCGATGAAGAGTTGGTAGTACCCGACCAATCCCATAAAAGAGCGAACCTCCGTGGTGTTGGTCGGTTCCGCCCAATCCTGAATGGCCTTGATCTTGTCCGTAAGCGAACTGATGCCTTGCGGCGTCACAAAGAGGCCCAAGTACTCAAGCTCTTGCTGTGCGAATTTGCACTTGGCTCGGTTGGCCTTGTACTTGGCCGTACGTAGCCTGTCCAAAACAGAACGTAGATGCACGATGTGCTCGTCCAAAGTTCGGCTATACACCAACATGTCATCGAGGTAGATGAGCATGAACCGGTCCAATATGTCGCGAAACTCCGTTGTCATCGCCGCTTGGAAGGTGGTCGGGCCATTCATGAGGCCGAATGGCATTACGATCCACTCGAAGTGCCCGTACCGTGTCTTCAACGCGGTTTTGTACCTATCTCTTGGATGGATCTCGAGCTGGTGGTAACCGGATCTGAGGTCCAACTTGGAGAAATACTTGGCGCCGCCTGAGAGTTCGCGAAGATCGTCGATGTGTGGAAGCGGGCCGGCATTCTTAATGGTTTGAGCATTAAGCTTGCGATAGTCAATGCATAAGCGCAGCTCCTTGTTCTTCTTCCGAACGAAGAGAACAGGTGCACCGTAGGGCGAGCAGCTAGGGCGAATCCAACCCTTTTCAATAAGGTCATCGAGTTGCGTTCGAAGCACTTCAAGTTCCTCCTCGCTCATGCGGTAAATACATCCGCGCGGAGGTACGGCCCCGTCTTCGAGGATGATCTCGTGACGAATTGGTCGATTTGGTACGATTCCGGCGGGGGCTTCAAAGACGTCGCCCTAAGAGTCAAGAAGTTGTAAAATGCGTGGATCCGGTGGCTGTTCCGCCGCTGGCTCGTCGGGAGGAGGGAGGGCGTGCAAGAAACAAATGCTCATTTCCTCCACGTCGTTCCGTGCGATGAAGTTGCGAATGCTTGCCGCGGAGATCACGTGACAACCAATCGAAGGATGAGGTGGGGGGACCGTACATGGCACAAGTACCCCGTTCCGGTCACGAACGTGAACAGTGCGGCGGTAGAAGTTCACCGGGTGGTCCTCGCTGCGGAGCCATGACATGCCCAAAATCATGTCGAACCTTGTGTCCAATACGTCAAAGGACACGGCCTCGCGTGCAAGCGGGGCGAAGTACACAGGGATGGAGCCAATGCACTGGTCAATGGACTTGTGTGTACGACCGACGGCCAATGTGACTTGCGTGGGCTGCGATTTCCTTCGAACGCGCGGCCCCAGGCCGGCGCGGGTCATGAAATCCTGGCTGATGTAGTTGCGAGTAGCTCCACAATCAATGAAGGCGCTGCAGGTCGCCTTTCCAATCTGAATGCGGACATAGAGTAACGGTGCATCGGTGTCGTCGTACCGTTGCGTGGCGTATTCGCGCTCAATCTTCGCAATGTACTCACGAAGGTCAACAACCGCTACTCCGTCTTCCATCAACGGAGCTGGTACTGCAGCGTGCAAGTAGTTGCGTAGCTCCGCCATTAGGGTGTTGCAATGCGGCTTCGGCAAGGAACCAGATGGGGGAAGAGGCAACCATTGGAAGTCCTCCGGTGTCAATGGGTCGAGTTCCTCAAGTCTAGACCACACCGACGAGTCCCCGAGTGATGTTGGCGAGGATGCTGGTTCACTTGGTGATGGTGATGAAATCGCGCATATAAGACTCTTGCACGTGGAGAGGTTGGTCCAACGGCGGGACCAGCTGGACAACATAGTCTTCATAATCTTTGTGAAGACTGGCGACATACGCATGTTTCCCGGACGTGGAGGACGTTGCTAGCAAGGCAACTGTGTCCGGCGGAGTAGGAAGTGGAGTCGCCTCACTTCCCGCAAAGCTCAGTTTCCCAAGCTTTGCCATGGACGAACGTCTTCTTTGCCTTTGTCAGGGCATTGCGACGTCGTATGTTTGGTGCTGTCGCACCAGTAGTAACAACTCCACCTCTGGTGGAGTTTGTATGGCTCCTCCGTGAGGCTGAACTTCTTCCATGGCTCATTCGGCTGTCCGACTTCCGTTGTTGACGCAGATTTCGCCTTCTTCTTGTTGTTGTTGTTGCGTCGTGGCGGAAGGGCGTTGACTGTGTGTGTGTGTGGGTGGGTGGGTGCGTGTG